TTATATGTAAACTTATTACTTTAAATATACATATTATTTAATAAATTACTATATTTAATACGCAAGTTGCACTTTAAAGTGTAATAAGGCCTCTTAAAGCCTTTAATATATTAATATAAACTCACACTGCTAACTTCACATGAATAACATAGAGGCAAAGAACAGAAGAAAACCACTATATCACATTAAGGCAACTCACCTCAATAGTTCTTAATGTAGTAACATTAGTTCCTAGTCTCCCCTGTCCCCTTTTTACTTTTATTTTTACCTTTACATATTAATGTACGCATTTCCCACACCCAACCCGCCCAGAACTTCACTTTCACACTAAACAGCAAACATCCAATTCTCTCCAACCTACCTACCTAACAAAACCACCATCGCAAATCACCGCATGTTTACAACCCTACCTACCTAGGTACCTACTATATGAGCACTAATACCACATCCATGTTCCACAAGTTCCAGCCTACTACCTATGTGGTAGTTACGGTACTCAGATTCCGCCAGTACACTAGCTAAGCTAGGAGCTGGCGGGCTCTACAACTTGGGTTGGCGACGACCTACCTACCTACCTACTACCTAGGTTAGGGAACATGGCAACCTAGAAGAGCAAGACTCTGATCTGATGGTGAGATGGCCGAGTGGTTATGGCGCTGCGTTCAGGTATCACAAAAACTTGGATATATGATAAATAAAAAGATTATCGCAGTGGAGCAATCCGCGTGGGTTCGAGTCCCACTCTCATCAGTAACTTCATTTTTTTTTGTAGCCCTTTTCTTCATCAGGACAATATTGTTCTTATTAGATAACTAATATAAGCTGAGATGTCTTTAGCTTTGTTGTCCATAATTGATTTGTGTATAGCCTTGATTTTACGGCTTGATCATGGGGTAATACTTGATTTTTTTTTTGGTGGTGGGGGGCTTAGTTATACAATTTAACATTGCATCTATCAAATGTCTGTCAACTCCCTAGATTTCGTGTAAGTGTCACAAACTATGCAGCTACCAGACAGATAGATTAGCGTCGCGATATTGCTTCTATACAGTCCTCCCCTCCCGACCAGCGAATAGAACACAGTCGTCCTACCAGACTTGGAAAGGCTGGTGAAAGCATTGTAGCCATTTGATACATCTGTACATCTCTATCTGATGCAGGGAGCAAAAACAACAAGTAACTACTAACCCCCCTTTCGCTAGAAAATAAACCATACGAAAAGTAATAAAATATTTTCAGTATATTGCTGCAGCATAGGAGAAAACCTTACCCCCTAAATTTGTATATATAAGTAGGTAGGTAACCTAGATGTTTGTATATATGTATTCGTCTCTATACAATCCGCCTCCACCCTTCCCCCTCCCCCCCTGCTTCATTAATATCTCTACCTACCTTCTTCCTTCTTATTCCTTCTCCGGCAGGGCACCGATTCTTACCACACCAACAACAATCACATATTTAAGCAAGACGCACTTTTGATAGCAGTGTGTGGAAAAATAACAACAGTATTGAGTTTTTCACCCTGCTCTCTACTATTTTCTACCCTCCTCTCCGCTCCTTTCCTCTCCCTTTCTTTATCATTCCTTCCCCTATCCGCTCTACCCCTTTTCCTCCTTCCCTTCCCTCTTCTTTCTTATCCTTCACACACACTCGCACGCCCCGCGCAACAAAAAATTACATGAGTTTAGGTAAAGGTAGTCAGGTTTATCTTTTGTAAACCAGGCAAAAAAGAAAAAAGGCAAGTCCTCTCCCCTTTCCTTCCTAAAACCCTCTAGGAGGGTAAAAAACAAACCGAAGAATTGATCAAACCAATTGTCCAGTTCGCAAAGCCTTGCGAACTTCAATGAAGTGGCACGGAGGGTGAAAAAAAAAGAAAGGTACCAATAGTAGAAGAACAAGGGAGAAAAGAAAAAAAAACAAGGAAATGAAATCCTTTAATGGCCCCACCGCATGTACTCCGCATTTTGTTGTTGTTATAGTAGCAATTGCTCATTGATGAACGTCGAATTCGTATCTATGATGTTGTTGCCATTGTTGCTAATGAGTTCTCCACGACGAGAACGTCAATCTCCACCAACACCACTACCATCGGGCCCGTACACATCTCTAATGCTCGGGAGTCTAAAGGAATATAAAAGGTCTGTTCGTGGCTCTGAAGTTCTCTAGGCTTCGTTACCGGTTGATGGAGGGCCACCGTTGCCGTTCGCCATCACCGGTCCTGTAGGTGCCATAGCTGGGCTGCCATTTACTGCTCCTGGAGGAGGAGCGTTCATGGCTGGCGAGTTGAACTGAGGTTTAGGACTGGGACTAGATGCCGAGAAGTTGACACCGCTAGGCATGTTGGCTCTAGCAGCTGCCATCCTGTTCGGGTCTTGTCCGAGACCGATACCGCCTAATCCAACCGGAGCACCGACATGACCATGGCTGGGGGCAGCGCCTTGGCCCTGGTTAGAAACTGAGCCTCGGAGGACCTCGTTAGATTGCTGGGCGTTCCTCTGGGCTTGGAAGCGTGCCTTGGCCTGATCCATCGCCTGTTGCACCTGATGGGGATTCAGGGACGTGTGGAAAGCCGAGTTCGGCGGCGCCTGGTTCTGATTGGGGGGAGGCTGAGGCTGACCTTGGTGGTTTTGCATCGGCGGCTGACCAGCAGGTGAATAGTAGCGTCGCGACGGGTCGTTAACCATGGTTGGTTGGCCGCCGTAGGAGGGTTGACGCGTTGGCGTTGGGGGAGGATGATAGGCGGGTTGAGGCATGTGCGGGTGCTGAGGCGGTTGATGATGATGCACTTGTGGAGATGCAGTTCTCTGGGGCATGCCACCAGCGCCGTTAGGGTAGTGGCCGTACGCAGGATGAGTCGGAGTACCATGTTGCGGATGGGGTTGCTGGTAAGGCTGGTAAGGCTGGTGGTGATAGGAAGGTGCTGCGGTGTTGGGAGGGTGATTGTATGCTGGTAGGCGGGCCTGCGGAGTCGCGTTGACCATAGCATTGGGGTAACCTTGCATATGCGGCGGCTGATACGGCGGACGGTTCTGCGTCGGCGTTCCTGGGTACGGCCCCGGCTGACCATATGAGGCCGGTGGCTTGGCATAGGACTGGTTGTAGCCGGAGGCCGGGTAGCCACTTGGCGGCCGGTAACCCGCGTTAGAAGGGGGCCGGGGAGGATAAGCGGCGGGCATGGTCTGCGGGGGTCGGTGTAAGTGCGGCTGGGGAGGACGAACTGGCGTTTGGGGACCATAATAGGGCTGGGTTGGCATCGGCTGGCGGTTTGGAGGCGCGTGGTATTGTTGGCTATACTGCATGTTGCTTGGCGTACCTTGCGGCCGGTGCGAAACTGGAGCTGGACGCGGGTTCGCGGCAGCCGCCTGCGCGGCTCGGGCGCGAGCGGCGGCCTCGTCCTCTTCCATCACACCCTGATACTCGTCCGTGCGGATTTCTAATTTAGTTGAGATATTCAATTCATCCAACTTATCCGAATTCAGACGCGCAACGCAATAGGGGGGCAGCATCTGTATCACCAAAACAAGCTGGGCCTTGAGGGCCTGATATGTTGCCGTCTCCTCCTCGCCAGGCTGTACGGGAGTTCCGTTCGTGAGCATGTCGCTATGTGCCGGGTCGGCGGCGTATCGACTCTGGCTTGATGCGGTTGGCAATGTCAAGTTGCGGTTCTTTTGGTAGGAAATCAGGGTCTGGATCATGTCGGACACATCCTGGAGTATGTCGTCCACATCCTTCTCCTCGTCTGGCTTCCTTGGACAGCACGCCTCTTCCAGGCTCGGGTCGACTAAGCTGTCATCCCAATTATCGATAGCTTTCCGGATCAAATCCTCGTCCACCTGCTCGGCAGGGTTATCAGTGGGTTCGTCAGCGTCGTCATTTGGTTCCTCCGGTAACTCGGCCTCTATTAGACGGTCCAAGCTGCGCTGGCCAGCGCGCTGCCACCACATGGTCTGGCTGATCAAGCCCGACGATATCATGGCAGCCGAGTCGTCCTTCGAAGGGGCAAAGCTGGAGAATGCACCCCGGAAGAGAGATTCCATCTCGGACATCTCGAGGTCTGAGGAGGACGGCTTGTTTCCGGCGAGACTGAGGGCCCGTTCGCGCTGCTTCGTCATGATCTGCGAAGGGGGGGCAGCATTGCTGTAGTCAAGCCACCGGCCGGTTGATATCGTCTGACTGAAATATGATCCGGCTCGATACTTGGATTTTTCGGTCAATTCGGGGCGATGCCAGCCGACCTGGACGCCTTTGGTGGTGCTTTTCGGCGCTTTGGGCGGCTGAAGAGAAGGTAGGTTGCGAGGCGGAGGGAATAGCTCGCCCAGCGTTTTAGACTTCTTGTCCTTCTCGAGGGCAGAGGGGAAAAAGTAGGGCACTGCCTTGATGGCCTTCATGCCGTTGGGCAGCCCGGTCTCCCTCAGAGGTCGGTATGCGCTCTTACCGCCATCGGCAACGGGCTGCTGGAGACTGGAGTATAGCTGTCTCGGTCGGGGCGCGTCGCCAAAGACGGTCAGGACCATGTTCCCGCTCGCGTTTGAATCCAGGTCATTAGTCGAATCAAGGGATCTGAGAACTTCGGGGACATGGGTCGGCCTAGGATATGTCATTTCCCGACGGAAGAGTCCGTACGCCTTGTGCTTGAAGTCGATGATACTCGCGATAGCCAGGTCGGCTTGCTTGGTGTCCTTGCCGGGCTCGACATGGCGCAGTTCGGCCAGCTGGTCGGTGATGGAGGTTTTGATGTCGATGATGATAGCCTCGACGTCTCGGTACTCATCATTGGCGACCTTGTCGGCTATGGATGGGAAGGACGTGCTGTCGACCGACTTTTGGCGCTTGGCATCCGGTTCGTCGGAGGGTGTTGGTTCGGGAAGGGGGCGCTTGAGAATGGAGGGCGTCGTGTCGAAGCTGTGTAGTAGATAGAGCCAGGGGTCAGTCTCACATGGACGTATACCAAAAGATGGAGCCAATGCAGCGAGAAAGAAATAAATAAATAAAAAAAGGCGATGGCGGCGCATAAGCGAAAAAGGAAAGGAAAGTAAAGGAAATGAAAACTGTAGGGGCATAATTGTTCTTCTCGCGTATTTTTCCCTTACCTCTGCAGCAACTCGAAGTAATCGCGAACAGTCGACCTGTCAATTCTGGTTGCGTTCGCAGATGAGGAAGAAGCACCGGCAGTATTGTTGGCGGCGGCGGCGAGGGGGTTCGTGGGGTTGACACCATTGGCAGCGATGCCGTTTGGCTGCTGCTTCTCATCAACGTTGCTGGACTCGCGTTTGCGCTTGGTCGACGAGTTGATGGATTGCGCAGGATCGGCATCGGCATCCAGTTGCATAGGCGTTGGCACGCCGTTGGGAAGTGCCACGGCGGGCGAAGCCATTTTCTGTTGTTGTTGCTGCTGCTCTCTCTCTTGTTCTTATTATTGTTCTTGTTCTTCTTTTTCCAATTCCCTTGCTGGCCCTGGCTGGCTTGGCTAGCAGGTTGTAGTGTAAGTACAGTATTGTTCTGTTCGGTTGTGCTCTGCTCTACTCTGCTCTGCTCTGTTGGTTGTTGTTCGCAACCGCGGTGGCAGAAACAGTAGGCAGTGGTGGCGGTGGTAGCAGCAGCAGCACCACCAGCACTCACTACAAACAACCAACCACCAAAAAGTAGGTAGGTACGTAGGTTTCAATGTTACCGTACCAGTAGTCAGTCCAGGAATAACAAATGCGATGCGGTGGCCGTGTCAGGTTTAGTTAACAGTAGTGCAAAGTGAT